GGCCTTCTTTTATAGGGGAAAAATCCCCCCCCAAACTTAACTCCCAACCAATGTGGGACTTTGACATTTTGCCAAACTTCAACAGAGCCCATGATTTGTTAAAAAAAATTGGCTCTTGATACCAAGAAGAAATAGAAGTTCTGAGTAAATAGCAAACGTTGGTTTATACCCACTGTATATGTGAATTTATAGTTGAAGTACAACAGATGTAAGCCCTCATATAGATAAGTACAAATATATTGGATAAGTACAACAAATTCAAATTCTACTAATTATCCTAACAATATCAATGGATAAAACAGTAACACGCTAGCAAAGTTTGACATTTCCGCTCAATTCAATTCTAAACAGCTCAATATTTGTAGAAATTGGAATGGACTTTGCTATTTAACACATGTCTACTCTCGTTGCAATAGGTGTTTACAATGTATTGTAGTTGTTATGACTCCGTTGTGGTTTATTGCGCTTCACATGTTATTATCATTATTGTTCCCTTGCCGGGATGTTATTTTCATTATTGTTCCCTTGCCGGGATGTTGTCTTGTTATAATTGTTCCCTTGCCGGGATGTTGCTAGAATATAATTGTTCCCTTATCGGGATTCTTTTGTGATTAATGTTGATTTATGAAATGGGAGCGGGTTGCACTCCTGCAACAAGATATATGAAATGGGAGTGGGTTGCACGCCTACAACGAGATATGCTGGCACGCTTGCAACGAGATATGCTTGCACGCCTGCAACGAGATATGTGAAATGAGAGCGGGTTGCACGCATGCAACGAGATATATGAAATGGGAGCGGGTTACACGCCTGCAACGAGATATGTGAAATGGGAGCAGGTTGCACGCCTGCAACGAGAGTAGACATGTGTATGTATTTATTGAACAAATTGACAGGTAATTAAACAAGAACTTGACATAAATAGTGAAACAAAACGGTAAAAAAGATTAGAGTGGTTTTCCAGGAAAATTACAACCATGACTTTTGATGCAAACTAGAGTTCATTATAGACAACCTCCACCACACATTAAATCTATCACTTCAACAAGATAGGGCTAACAAGATAAGTTTTCACTAATTTTTCTGTATTGTTCCAATTTTATGAATTGTTCTCTTGACATAAAAAGAACGCTGGTTAAGATAACTACAAAGTCAGCAAGTACTTGATCATTATAATCATAGATATGGATATGAAGCAAGTATTTGTCCCAAGAGTTAAGCTGAATTCTGGTCATGAAAATTCCTTTATAGGCATGGGAACAGCACCTTCACTACCACCACTGAATGAATTAGTCGCCACATTTGTAGGTGCCATTGAAGCCGGCTATCGACACTTCGACACAGCCGCTGCCTATGGCTCTGAGGAGGCACTTGGCCTAGCAGTGGCGGAAGCGGTTCAACGTGGACTAATTATGAGCCGAAATGAAGTGTTCATTACCTCCAAATTATGGTGCACCAAAACACGCCACGACCTTGTTCTTCCCGCCCTCAAAAGATCTCTAGCGTAAGTTTTTTTTATTTTATTTTATAAAGCTAGGCAAATTCCGGATATATATATATATACACACACATGGAGGCCCACAGAGATACTAACGTGCAAATCGTCCGACTTGGTATAGAGGCGAAAGACTAATCAAACCGTTGGTTCCATCCGAAGTTTCCCTCGGGATAGTTGGAGCTCGAGCTCGCGTGCGAGTTCTATCGGTTAAAGCCAATGATTAAAGGCATCGGGCATAAGTCTTTTTTATAGAGCTAGCCAATATATATATACACACACCGAACATACTGCAAAATAGTCTAGAGTCGTTGTTGGAGCTAGTTTTATTTTTATTTTTTCATTTAATATCTAACCAATGAAGGATAGTGGTTCATGTTGTGTCCATGCCATTAAAGGTCGAACATTAGGGTTGAAGGTTAGGAGGTAGTTGAGCATTTTTCTATTTTGTACTAGGCGTGGGGCTAGCTTGATGTTGTTTAGACTGCTAGTATAATTCATGTTGTGTCCATACCACTTCCTCGTGTTCGTAGTACTATGCCATTAATATTGTTTAGTGTTAATTATTGCTCGTCTCTCTACTTTCCAGTTCCTACGTTGCTGGTGTTATCTTTCTGGCTTATGTTGTTGTTACTGATCTACTGTCTTTTTTGGTCTTCTTGAGCCGAGGGTATATCGGAAATTAAATAGCCTTTTTACTCCTCCGGAACAGGGATAAGATTTGTATACACATTACCCTCCCCAAACCCCACTGGTAGGATTTTACTGGGTTGTTGTTGTTGTATCTGACCAATGAATGCCAAACATTTCTACATTGTCAGTGCAGTTTAACCTGTGATAACACTTACCTGTCACTTTTACCAAGTTGCTAATTAGTAGTTCACCTGTAATTACCTTAAGAGTGACTGGATTGTGTAAATAATTTTTACACAATCATGATGTATAGAACTTAATTAAGCACATGTGAAAAAATGTTTGTAGGACGCTGGGGATGGATTACTTGGACTTGTACCTAATACATTGGCTAGTGACGACGAAAAAAGGTAATGATAAAGAGATAAGGTTTGCAAATGAGGAAGTAATACCATTTGACATGAGAGGAATATGGGAAGCCATGGAAGAATGTCACAGGTTAGGTTTGGCAAAGTCAATTGGTGTATGCAACTTCAGCTGCACAAAACTCTCTCAGCTCTTGCACCATGCTACCATTCCTCCTGCCGTTAACCAGGTAATTAAGGATTTAAGCTATATACATTTAGTGTAACATAGTGGTTTAACCTTTTACAGCATGTTAGTTCTTATTTCAATCAGGTCATAAACTAATGCTTATTAAAGTGTAATTATCTTGTCACCGTATAGAACTTTTAACACTCATTTGTGCTACATAAAATGTTCAATTGTTTTGAAATGTATTTATAGGAATTCTCATCAATCAGAGAATTCAAAAAGATAAATCTAAATTATAAATCACACGAGTGGAAAGATATTAACCAAGTTGAGATTCAAAAATAAAGTCTATATTAAATATTTAAAAAGATAAATTTAAATTATATGAAAGGAAAGATATTCAACACATTGTAGTTTGTTACTCATAATCGCTAGAATACTTTGTGTCTTGCTAATAAAGATACTTGAAATAACTTAGTTTAAGTATAAGTAGCATAATAGGTTTTAGGAATTAGTATTTTGAGTTTACTTACTTACTGGCTTGTAACAGTTTTCATAATTCTAAGGCCTAATAAAAAATTAATGCTTTATTAGTTTTAAACTTACTATATAAATATATTTTCCACATGCAAAATTTATTCGATACGGTTCGGTATTTTTTCGATTTATTTTTATAAAATAAAAAACCTACCCTAATTATCGGTACGATTATAGATTTATATAAAAACCTACGATTTCTTAAAAAGAAACCTAAAAATCAATTCGGTATGGTACGGTTCGGTTAGTTTAGTCGATTTTCAAATATCCATTGACACCTCTCCAAAAATATTCATTAACACCTCTACTTGGAGCTAATCGTTCATATTTGAATTCCTTTTGAAGTCTGATAGTCATCTAAATTCATGTTGCAGTCAAATTGTTGTCGCCGGCTAGCACTTGTTCCCACATCGAGAACAAGCTTCTCAATATTCTCTTTTGACATCTATACAAACTCTCGAGTCTCATGTTAATCAATATCGACCAGCAACTCCGGCTTTGATGGCTCGAAAGCTTTAATGCGAAGGTGATCATTTCCTCTTTCAATTCTGAGTCACTCTTTCCTTTTTCTTGTTTTTTTAGGTCTGTTTACCTTGAAAATGGTAATTACAATTGAATTTAATTTTGTGGTTTTAAAAATACGTGATATGTTTTTATGCTAGTTGTTTAGGCAATAGATGTTAAGTAAGAGATCAGAAAATGAGATAAGAGCTTGTAGATAGTATAATGACCAAACCGAATGGCTGAAAATCAGGGCCTCGAGCTGGCGTATACGGTCCTCGAGGTTGAGTCGGATGCTCGGCTAGGGGCAGTCGAGGGGGGGTCGGGATTAACAGTTATGATAAAATCAATGATGGTTCTTTATGGCCAATAATAAGCAATAAATGAAGAACAATAAATAGAACACAATGGATGTAAGCAATAATGCAAGTAATGAGAGCAAGAGAATATGTTAGAGAGCAGAGAGAATGCTCTTGTGTATTCAATATTAAGCATCGGATCCCTTACAAAATGACAATGATCCCCTTTATATATCAGAGGGAATCCCAAAATAGTACAAATGTATTTATTACAAATATATGGGGATGGTACAACCATTTAAAGCCTTGATCCGGGTCTGAATTAGCCCACTAGGCTTTGCCAGCTCTAGCTACACGCCTTGGGAACTTCCCACTTTTTTGCCATAACCATCGATCTGTATTACCCCGAGGTCGGGCGTCGATAGCCCTTCGGGTGTAAATCTCGATCGTAGCTTCGAGCCTTTGACAACGTGCTTACCGAGCGTCGTAATGATCAAAAATTGGATCCTCCAATTTTACCATATACAAATAGTCCCCGCGTTTCCTAGAACGAAGTGATAGGAAATGGTTTCGAACTTCTACTCCTAAGGCACTGTTACCATGATGTTAGCCTATCAGAGGATTAAATGTCATAACTCAAAAGCAGCGCAAGGGTCACCGTCAACACGACTATCGAGAAGCTCACGAACCTTTATTGGTTCGGCTTATTCGCTGCCCATACGACTTCTATAAATACCCCAATTGCTTAGTGACTCGCACTTTTGTGATTCCTTCAAGATTTCAAATCCAAATCCATCTTCCTCTACGCTTCTTTATCTTTTGTTTTTGGTTTCTTACCTTCCTTATTGAGAAAAAGAAAACTTTTAGTCGTCATGGCCAGAACCTCCAAGACAGTACCTTGGAAAGACGAAGCTGCTTCTTCATCTCGAACATCCAAGAATAAATCCAATGGTAAGCTCAAAATGGCTCCTACCGTCGAACAGTGTACACCCACCGAGTTCGATAGTATGAAGGATTTTTCCATCAATAGACCTTCATCTACGCCGGGTCAATGCGAACAAGTGTCCCAGTTCATTAGCATTGTGAAGGATATAGACAAAGTGCGGGCAGACTGCCTGTTACAACCCATATCCACATGTGTTAGTTCATACCATATATTAGTTAACATAAATCCAAGAA